GACAGCAACCATCCTTACCTGAGGGAGAAGCATGGCACCCAGAGGACGAGTGCCAGGATTCACGTGCCCAGCTTGTGAGCGCAGCAAAGACCAGGGCCGGGATTCATTCTCCCTGGTATGCACCGGCATCTGGGCATCTCACGTGGGCTGTAGCAACTGAGTCCAGCAATAAAGGAGAGCTCTCCTAGACGGAGCGAGCGCAGAATAGCTCAGCAGCTACAGACATGCTGCTGGGGGAACCGCAACCTAGATGCATTTTGTTGTGAATGACTTCACGATTTGCTCAGGGATTAAATACTTCCTCGTTTAATAACCTAATAATTTGAGCTAGTTTCATGCTGGACTGTTGGAAAGTTCACTGGCTGGAGTCATCAGCCAGGCCTCGTATAAACGGCTTCCCCCAGCTCTCAGCCAAGTGAGCTGTCCTTATCTTTGGGTCCCCCGGCGGGTGGCTCTTGGCACTACCTTCTTCTGAAGGGCTTTGTTGTTCGTGCGTGTGCCTGAGGCTTTACGCTCCGGGGGCTTCCTCACCACATCTTGTTTGAGCTGGAAATGCACCTGGAGAAAGAGCAAAAATAACTGTGTAACACCATGTGTGTGCTCTGCTGGCGCAGGGGTCTGCAGGACCTGCCTCTGCCGCTAGCCTTCGAAGCTGACTCTTGGGCCAAGACAAGCAATAAGGGGCCTCAGCCAGTGTTACAATACAGTGGGAACTCAGTGCTTAAATCAGCTGGAAATATTTTTTTTCTGTGGAAAATGTTGTACCAACAATCCGTGGTGTTTCTTATGCAAAGAGCTGCTCCTGCAGCAATGTGATGTCCTAGGATGGTTTGGAAGATGAGCTGTGAAAGGCAGGGGACTGAGCTCTCTGCTCCTTCTTCATCTTTTCTTACCAGAGAGTAGAGAAATAGCATTGCTTTGCATCTCTGTGAATATTTAATACACAGCATACTTTAGGACAGACAGTCTTTTTTCAATTGCATCTTGTTAGCTGAATCCTGCTTAATCAAGTCTTTTAGCAATCAGTGCTTCCAGTAGATCCAGGAAAAAAAAACTCCAGGAAAGAAACTTCCATCTACTACAGCCATGCAAGAAGGAGAAGGGGACATGGAGCATGCAGGACACAGCATCTGATAAACAGGGAATGGGGAGGCCACACAGAAAGGTGAAACTGGAATGGAGCTGTGTGGGCATCCTGGGGGAGCGATGGGGTGAACGGTGGGTATGGGAGGTGCTGCAGGGGCAGAGGGAATGGGGACAGGAGGGCTGCTGTGAGGGGAGATCTGCAAAAATCAGACCATCAGGGAACAGATCAGTCTCCTACAGTAACATGGTAAAGGCAAAATCTGTTTTACAAAGGAGAGCCAAAGAGCTGGGTGCTTAACCTAGCAAAACAAAGGCAAGGACTGGGCTTGACAGCTTTCTATAAATACATCAGGGAATAAATACCAAGGAAGAAGGGAGCTATTTAAAGCACAACGTTGGCATAAGAACAAATAGGGATAAACTGACCATAAATAAATTTAGGATGAAAATTAGAAGGTTTCTAATCCTGAGAAAAGGGCAGCTCTGGATGAACTTCAGAGGCTGGGTAGGGTGGGATGAAGAGATGGAGAGCGGGACAACCACTGCAGTGTATTTACGGCAGAGCCTGGCCAGTACATGCAGTGAAGCAAATGATGTGCCAGAATGCTGCAGCCGGGGGATTCTTGCCGGTCCTTAGACGAGGCAGTCCCACCATGTTCACAAAACTACAGCAGGCGCAGGAATCACCACCCACTGTTTTTATAACCCATTTCCAGTTGTCCAGCCTGCCCTCGGAAGGGCACTGTAGGGGCCACACTGGTGTCAAGAGCCCCTGGTTTCACTTCATTGCCCAAAGGTGCTTGGCTGTTCTTTATTGGCACCCAGTTTCCATCTGTCTTGGGTGCTCTTGGCTGAAAGAAAGGCAGACCACAGCTTCTTGCTATGAGTCTGATAATGTGTTTGGTCCCAGGCAGGATGCAGATGATAGCAGAGCACTGAAATCCACAGAGCCAGGGGATAACAGAGCCTCAGGGAACAGATGCTGCCTCCACATCATCACATCCTGGAGAATGGGGAGGACCGGGGGGAGAGCTAAAAAGCAGCAGCCCCAGCCAGTCAGGGGCTCTCCCCATGGCCAGGAGGGAGAGGCACACAGGCGCTGGCACGGCAGCCCAGTGCAGCTGCGAGCCCCTCTGTAAGGAATGGAGCGGCACATGGCATCGTCTTCACCCTGTCCCTCTCTGTGAGCTGCAGGGAGCCCTTTGTCTGCCAAAGCAGACAGCCTACAGCCCCTGGCAATGCTCTACACCCATCTCCTTTCTCTACTGCTCACTAGACATCCCCTGCTGCGTTTCTTTCTCCCTGGAGTGAAGACATTTGGAGACACCCTTGTGACTATACAGCCTGACTCACCAGTGAAGGTGCAGCTGGGCCCACTGTTGTTGTCACCGTCTGGGGCTGGTACCCCTCTGCAGAGGCTGTGACAGTGTAAGTGCCAGGCAGCAGCAGCCGGAAATAATCCCCCATATCACCTGAAACACAAGGTGGGAAGAGAAAGAATTCAGGATGCACAGGGAACAGAGCAGAAGATATTCCAGTAGGTCTTGCTGAGTGTACTCCTCGAGGATGTACAAAACCCAGGCAATTTTTGGCCTTCCTTCCAAATCTGCTGGCTACTGTGAGCCTGGATTCACACTGGTAGACTGCAAACAATGTCTCATTAGTGTCACAGAGTAGAGGTCAGTCTGCAAGTAAATACCAAACAAAAGGGGATGGAACAGCAGTGTTGGCTGTGCCTGTGCAGGGAGGCTGCAAATCTGGGCGCTCGCCAGTCAGATGACAGCAGATCGAAGGGCAGTTGCAGCTCCAGTCTGACTCCTTACGTGTAAGGCGATCTCTAATTCCTGCCATATACAATTTTGCCAAGTTTGGGTTATTAGCAGGATTTGAATTGCTCATTAGCTCAGCTGCTCCCCTGCCTGATTCTCCCTGCATAAGGAAGCCCCAGGAGCACTTTGACGGACTGTGTACTGGTGTTGTGAGGGACAGGGGACAGCCAACAGGGAGGCAGCAGCACGTTATGGTTTACTTCAACAATTTGAATATATTCCCATCTATGGAACTGGATGGGTATTGCAAATCCTGTGATCTCTTGCACACTCCCCTTTCCTATGCAGGTTGGCATAGTAAGTGCCAAATAGTAGCGTGTTACTGAGTCACAGACCTACAGCCAGGAGTTTTGATGATTTCATAGTCTGACCTCTGAAAAGCTGGAATATCGGCTATTTTCTGCAGCCAGCCTGTAATGTCTGCTCTGGTTAAAGAAGGGTGTTTATGAATAGAGGTTAAAATCAGCCAGCAAAGGAGAAACCACCACAACTTGGACAAACTAAAGTGGCACTTCATTCTCAGTCTAAATTTGTCTGGTTTGAACTTTCAGTCTTTCATCTTGTTCTGCCATCATGTCCTTTGCTATCAGCTATTTCAGCTCTGTGTAGATATTTAGATGCTTGAGGAGGTTATGCCCTCGATCTTCTCTTTGGTTATATACATATGTATTTTCTCCTCTCAGATAAAATAGGAGCTGACTTTCTGAAGCCTGTTACAATAAGCTTTGTGTTCAGTTCTCACCTCTTTCTTTCCTAAGCCCTCCCTGGTCCCGCATGCACAGGCACATTTCTCACAGCTGGTGTTTTTTGGAAGCAAACCATGCTGGCCACAGATATTATAGCCTGACCTGCTAACCCTCTCCCAAATACCCAGATAGCCTCTGAGAGGCTGTATCCAAAAGGGACAGCATGCAAGGGGACTGACAACCCACCAGAGGTGATGTCATGGCTGATTCCCTGGACAGAAATCACTGCTCCTGCAATGCCATTGTTGTTCTCGTCTGAGACCATCCCTTTGATGCCCTGGTGAACCTGCAGGGAGGGAGACAGACTGCTGGGTCAAGGACCCTCCTTTGCTCAAGAGGGTATTGCTGGGCACTGGAGGAGGGCATAGCTCTGGGGACACCCCCATCTTGCCCCATATCCTTGGCTCTCCTGGTTCTCCCCAGCAGAGACAGTCTAGGACACAACAGCCTCTCCAAAGCCCACCAACTAGAGCACCTGCTGAGCTCCATGACCACCTCCCTTCCACCCCTGTGTTCCCAGGTCCTACTGACCCCCTACCATCAGGGCTGGGGCCCGCTGTGGCCTGCAGGAGAAGGGTGTAGGTCCCAGGTCTTGGGAAATATTAGTTTTCAAGCTTAGCATAAGTGTTGGCATAACTAGCTTAGCATAAGCGGCTAAATTTGCTGAAACCTTAGGCCATAAGCTAAGCCCCAGGACTGCCCCCTTACCTCTTCAATGAAAGCAACAAGGGCCTCCCGGTTGGCCATCCACTGCCGCTCCAGGTCCTCCTCGGGAGGGAACTTATTGCAGCTCAGCTCCAGGGTGATTTCAAAGCAGTTGGTGTAGAGGTAATTGAAGTCCTGCATGCCTGGAAGAGAAGGAGAGCCCATGGCCAGGGGAATGCAAGGCCCCCCCTCCCTTCCCACTCCGGTGTCCCAGGCGTCCTGGCCCCTGTCTGTCTTCTACCAGAACTGTCCCACTCTCCCTCTTTGCCCTGCAGGTGCAGCCTCCTCCCTCCATACAGCACGACTGGAGCTTTCTCCCCCTGCGCAGCCCCCTCCCTTTGTGGCTGCCAACTCTGTCCTTCAGCCGGATCATTCGCCACTCTGCCTTCAGCAGTGCAGGGATGTTTGGTACTGCAGGGGCTGTATGTCCCTTTCCAGTTGCTCTCCAATATTTTTTTCTAGACTAATTTTCTGATTTTCGGTTTGTTTAATGTGCCTTTTCTAATCAGGTTTTTCAGGAGTCAGCAGGTACAACAAATGTCTTCCCTTTGATCACAGCTTTGGGTCTTGATGGAGTTACACTGTAGCATTTTCAAATCCAGTAACAGATTAATGCTTCCTTTGTCCCGCAGCACACAGCAGGTCTCTGCAGACCTCGACTATTTCTGTGGCTCTTTCCCAAGCCACTTCCAGTCTTCCCAAGCCATTTCCCAGTCTGAGATGCAGACAGCAGAATGGTGTCTAGTAAGGGGCACAGTGCTATCGCCACAGCCCTTCCCCAACCCATCCTGTCCTGAGGTTTCTCGTCTATCACTTCACCTCTCTTCAGCTCAACACCTTGCTGCGGGTGGTGCTCACCTGCCCAGCCCTTACCTTTGCTGAGCGAGTACCAGGATGCCCCATTCGTGATGCCATCGGCAAAGTAATCCCCACAGTTCCAGCCACGGTGCATCCATCCGTGGGCGTACGAGTAGGTTTTGGCCAGCTAGAGAGAGAGCAGCCATCAGTTACCGCTCCAGCACTGCGCAGCTAGGGACCCTGCCTGGCTCTGAGCAAAATGTCCCCCCTCTTGCACAGGCTTCGCTGGGGACCGTGGGAGGGAAGTCAGACAGGAGACAGCTCCTGCATTTTACTGCTGTGAAATACAACACGAGGTAGCCAGGACCTCTACAAAATGTAGGCAGATGAAGGCGGAGGTGGAAGAGCAGAAATCTGGCAAGCTGGAGGCTTGCTGATGGCACAGGCGGCTCCTGTCCTGCTCCTGCTGAGACAAGGGGGAGCGGAGGGCACTGGGCCCACACAGGGGCACCCAGCCCCATCGGTGCTGGCCCACACACAGCAAATGGCACTAACAGAGGGGGAAGATAGACAAGGAAAACTAACCAGTACCAGTCCTGATGCAAATACCATATATATCAGGAGAATTTGGATTAGGAAAGAGTTTGGGCAACTTCTGGTTCTAGCAACTGCTTGTTTATTGCCCTTATTAAGATTACCGCTTATTTTTAGATGTGAAGGCAGGCCTAAAGCTGGGCCACTGCATCCAAAGTCTGTCCTTTGTGTAAGACACAGTTTAAGAGAGACCAGTGTTTGCATTTTCTAATGCAAACTCTATACCCTTGTATTATGGTTCAGATACTGGTGTAATCTTGTTCTGTCAGC